AGTGTGATGAACAGAGGAGTATTTACCTCTGCAGCAGGTATGCAACCAGCCGGTCTCTGCTGCGTAGTTTTCTCACGTAATCCTTGTGCGCAGCCTGCACAGGGGCACTGCGGTTATCTTTGGTTTTTCCGCGGGGAAACAGGCCCAGAGAATACAGCTGGTCGGAAGTCATGATGGGGAGCAAGGCTCCAGGTGCGAGGGTGCGCTCTGTCCTGCCCGCCGCGGAAGCAGGAAGCGTGGGAGAGACTGGCAGCAGGTGGGGCAGGCCTGAGACGCTGTCTGCGCCCCCGCCCCGCTTCTCGGCGGCCCGGTGGGAGGGAGGGGAGGAATTCATCCCACCAATATTTGCCAGTCAAATATCCGGCTGGCTGCCGCAGGGCACTTGGCTGGTTTCAGAAACCTGCTGATGCCTTCAGGGCTCTGATGGTTAAAGAAAGGGTAGGAAATGAGCTGGAAAGGCTGTGGCCGGAGGAAAGGCATCAGAATGACAAAGCAGCAGCATCCCCACGGTGGACTGAAAGGAGTGAAGTACTCACCTGCGGGGGCGGCCGGGGGAAGCCTCAGGGCTGGTCGCCGAGTCCTGCAAGTTGCAAGAACCCAGTCATACACGGTGTCCACAGTAGGAAAATCCAGAGAGACAGAAAGCAAATTCGCGGTTGTCAGGGAGACGAGGGGAGATGTGGGGATAGTGGCTAAAAGGGAAAGAGTTCTTTTTGGTAAAAGCTCTAGAATTGTGATGATAGATACATAGCCAAATGTATTAAAAACCATGGGAAAAAGCATTTTTTCTTTTTCTTTCTTTTTTTTTTTCCCCCGTTTCTGGATGCCATGAGTTGTGTATTCTTAATCCTCAGGACCTGTGCATGCTAAGCATGTGCTGTACCACTGGGCTACACCTCTGGCCCGTAGCTGTGCCCTTGAGTGGTGAATTGTGTGTTCTCTGAATTGCGGGTCTTTAAAATATACCCTCCCCTTTTTTTAAAGAATAAAGAATTAATAGCAGCAAAACAAAATAATCTTGCCTTCAAACCTAATGCATTGGCCAAATAAAACATACCCAGGGGCCGAGTGGCCTTTGCAGTTGCGGCTGTGGCGGGGACACCAGTGCTGCAGTTGTGTCGACCTCCGGAATAGGAGCCCGGAAGTTGTGGGTGATTCTCACCTTGCCCGGTAGCAAGCTTTCTCCGCCTCATTGCCGGGATGCTCTGGTCGCCAGGCTGAGGTCATCCTTGGCTGTGGGGTATCTTGGGCCCTGCAGGGCACCTGGCAGCATCCCTCGCTTCCTCCCACCGGCTCCCAGCCGCAGCCTGTCCTCCGCTCCGTCCCTTGTCACGACATCCAAAGACGCCCAGTGTCTTGGAAAGGACACTGGCTCCCGGACTTGAGCTGCTTTATTCACACGGGCGTTAGATTTGTGTCACCTAGAAAAGCCACGGAGAGCGATCATCCGAATTGTTTCTGTTTTTATCTTTCAGATGATGGATGCGATAAAAGGAACGATGACAGAAATATATAACGATCTTTCCAAAAACACTACTGGAAGCACAATCGCGGAGGTCAGAGCTGACACGTGAATTCTTTATTTGCTAAGGGTGTTGTTTACAGGTCACTCTGAAGGTGGCACACAAAGAAGCTGCCTGAAAACCCCGCAGGGGTCCCTGTGCGGGTTCCCAGCTGCTCTGCCGGCAGTGGGTGGAGCTGGGCCACTTTTCCTTTGGCCAGATCCGGGCTGTGGACACTGCCCTGCCCTGTGCAATCCGTTCATTTCTGATTGAACAGCCAGAACCAAAGCCTGAGTTAACCCACTGAGGGTGGAAGTGGGTTGGAGATATATATGTAGATATTTCTTTTTACTAGTGTGACCTTCTTTACAGTTATACTGGGGATAAGAATAGGTGTGTGCTTGAAAGTATGTATGGGTCCAGTGCCAGGCGTGTTGGCACCTTCCTGCAATCCCAGCACTTGGGAGGCTGAGGCAGGAGGATCAGCCTGGGCCTACATAGCGAGACCCTGTCTCAAAAAAGAAAACAACACAGAAAGCAAGTATGAGTTCCATAATGCCATAATACCTCCCCTGGGTCTCTGATCCAGATGCACGCCAGAATTTTTCGGGTTTTAGAGGGGTCACACGAAGCCCCAGAATTAGACACAACGCTTCTGTAGTGAAATGTGATCGTGCACACTGTTTGGGAGGAATCAGTTTTCCCCTTGCTCAGCACGATGGACGTTTGCCCCACGCAGCCCTCTGCCCTGGGCATCCTGAGGCTGCAGCATGTTCACCACCGCTGCTGGCCTCCACCCACTAAGTGCCAGTGGCACTCGCCAGTTGTGACAGCTAGCACTGACTGCAGACACTGTCATCGTCATGGGTGACACGATGCCTGACTGGAGAACCACTGATAAACACGGAAATGGCTTCATCGCTTTAGCTCAGGTTTACTTTTTTCTCTCCAAGTCACTTTAGTCCTAAATTCATCCATCTCTGAAGAGATACTTCGGTCTTCAGCTGTTGGGCTTTTGGAATTGTGTGTCGGTGCGTGAGTCTGGACCCACCTAGGCGCTGATAGGTGATAGGTTACAGCTACCTGAGTTGTCAGGGTTTTTTTGTTTTGGGTTTTTTTTAAGTTCAAAACTTTCATCAGTTTTTTTACTTTTTAGTTACATGAAAATATGGTCCTTATCTTCACTTCATGTGGCTTTTTCTGATGCCATATTTTTTGGAAAAGGAGGCCAGCCTCTGTTGCTTGGGGTTCAGTTCACCCTTGTGCCCCGTCTGGATTGGCGCTGTGGGACACCAGCACCAAGCTAGCTGCCTGCATCCTGGGTTGGCCTCCTGGGACCCCTTGCCCGTAGCTGCTGCTGGCCCTTTGAGACTTGTTTTGGTTACTTTTCTCTCGTTGCTGGGACAAAATACCTGACGTCCAAAATTAAGGAAGGAAAGGTTTATTTCACTTACAGTTCGTGGAGGTTTCAGTCCGTACCTGGCAGATTATAAGGCAGAGTGGCACATGGCAGAGTGCTACAGCTGATGGCGGCAGAACGCAGCAAAAGCAAAAAGCACACACCAGGGCAGAATGGGGGAGGAATGGCCTCAAGCACTCTTTTCCTCTCCCTTACATATGCAAACTATCCACCCCAGGGCGGGTGCAGCTCTCACACCCATAATCAAACTCTTAAAGCCTGCCTCATGGCCCCATGAGGCTTTGGGGGGACACACAGACATAAACCATAACAAGACTCTTCTCTCTGTTGCAGATCCGCAGGCTGAGGATTGAGATTGAGAAGCTGCAGTGGCTGCACCAGCAGGAGCTGTCCGAGATGAAACACAACTTGGGTGAGGCCCGGCCTGAGGTCTGGACTGCCCGGGGCTTGAGTGTGACCCTCTTGCCTTCCTGGAGGGAAATCTAGGCTCAGGAGTTGTGCACCTGAACATAGGACCTTGGAGCCAGGTGTAAAAGGGGTGTTGGGGACCCCTGCTTTCTTCTCTCAAGATAGAAATGATTCCTCATTTATGATGGTTCGGCTTTAAATTCCTTGACTTTCTGATGGGGCAAAATCAGCACACATCTGGTTTTGTGATTTCGTCTCTCCTGAGCTACTGGTGTGCAGTCTGATCTCCTCTGTGATGCTGGGCACGGCAGCAGCTGCAGCTCCCAGTCAGCCCAAGATCCTGAGGGAAGGAGCTGGGGCCCTGTGAACGATGTGCTGCTGAGCTAGGATGTACGCTAGGTCGGAGTACCCACTTACTGTCAGTGTATGATGCTTTATCAGGACGTGACCCCGTTACAAGTGGAGGAGCGTCTAAATCAACAACAATAAGTTAATGACAGTAGTAACACTGACTTAATGAGCTGTAACTGTGGCAGAGATTTACTATTTTATTTCTTACCTATGTTGTCATGGTAAGGAGTTCTGCTAAAATCCCTAGTTCTCAAGTGAAGAAAATGAGGCACAGATGTATTAAAGGAAGTTGTTCCGAGTCACCCAGCCGTGATTCAAGTCTGGGACTTTCCCCTGTTCATCAATGAATGTAGTTTTTTTTTGTTGTTGTTATTTTGGGATGGTATTGCTGTGGCATTCAGGCTGGCCTCAAACTCACTAGCTAGTCCAGGTTGCCCTCAAACTAGAAGCAATCCTCCTGCCTCAGCTTCCTGAGTGTTGGGATTACGGGCATGCACCATCATGTCGGTGTTTTTACAAATACTCAGATGTGTATTGTGTACCTTACAATGTGGAGAAAGATAGTTTGTTGGTTCTATCATTCCATGTGGCCATTAGTAAAGGCTTTCCAAAAGCAGCAGTAGTTCCTCCAGAGCCTTTGCTAGCAGAGCCAAGCCCAGCTGTGGTCTGTGTGCATTCTTTTGTACTTATTGTAAGTTTCAGGAGAGTGTTTAAAGAATTGAGGGCTGGGCCTGGTGGCTCACACTTGGAATCTCAGCACTCGGGAGGCTGAGGCAGGAGGATCATTGCAAGTTTGAGACCAGCCTGGGCTACAAAATGAGCTCAAGGCCAGCCTGAACTGGATAGCGAGACCGTCTCAAAAAGATGAAAGAAAAAAGAAAGAAAATTGAGGAACCATTTATTTTTATTTTGGCCTGTAGGCCACTCGCAAATGATTTGCACATGGACTCAACTGTTTGAAGTAAAGTTGTTGAAAAATCTCGGTAAGCTGAGCAGCTTAATATTAGCCTGTTAGCATAAAGATCAACCACAGTGTCCTGGCTGATTGATTGGATCCAGTGCCTCAGGATCCACCTGCAAGAAAGTGTCTGTGAGGTGAGCTTAGCGCTGCCCTCAGTAGCTGAATGTCTGTTTCCTCATCTGTCAAGCGGTAGAAGGACAGTACTTAGCCTGAAGGATTGTTACGCAGATGACATGAGTTAACATTTATACAGTGTTCAGAGCTGCGCCTGCATATAGTAGATGTCATGTAAGTGTTTATTGATGGGGAAAAGCCTCACACTGATGATAAAATTCCCATAGTGGACCTTGGGGTTGCGACTCACTGTGGGGGTCCTATTGTCTTCATGCTCAGAGCGGCTGGTGATAGCCAGCGGCCACAGCCAGTGGGGGGCGCTTTGAGTCAGAGTGTGTGCAAGCGTCGGAGAATCTGGGGATCTGCTGTCCTTGCACACGGGCGCAGGAGTTGGTGACGCAGCCAGTGTCCTCTCCTCCTCTGCCAGAGCTGACCATGGCTGAGATGCGGCAGAGCCTGGAACAGGAGCGGGACCGGCTCATTGCCGAGGTGAAGAAGCAGCTGGAACTTGAGAAGCAGCAGGCGGTGGACGAGACCAAGAAGAAGCAGTGGTGTGCAAACTGCAAGAAGGAGGCCATCTTCTACTGCTGCTGGAACACCAGCTACTGTGACTACCCCTGCCAGCAGGCCCACTGGCCCGAGCACATGAAGTCCTGCACCCAGTCAGGTAACTGGGGCGCTTTTCTGCACCGGTGGAGGCCCAGTGTCACCCTCCTGTGGGCCACAGGGGCCTTGGTTGGGTTGATACCCGGAGGGTGGCTGGCCAGCCCTTGTCACTCTTCTTACAAACCACTTGTGCACAAGAGAGGGACATGCAGCCGTGTAGCCGGTTGTTTCTGACCTGTCTCCTTTGCAGAGTCCTTAATCTCTTGGGCCAGGGATGCCCCAAATCTGCAGTGTAGCCTCTGCATAGAATGATCCTGCTGAGAGTCCGTAGTACTGATGTTGAGAACCTCTGCTGTTTTGGGAGTAATGGAGCCAGGGCTTTAAATAATGTGGATTACAATTTTGAGGAAAAGATGTTGGTTTGGAACGAAGCTGTCATTGAGGATGCTCGAGGGTATTTGCAGTTGGCCTTTCTAATGCAGAGCGGGCGAGCTGCAAGCCTGGCGCCTCCAGCAGGAGACGCTCCCTGGTCGGGACTGAACTGTAATACTGACAAGTTAATCTTTACAACTAGGGCTTGGGCTGGGGATTTAGCTCAGTGGCACAGTGCCTGCCTAGCAAATGCGAGGTCGTGAGTTCGGTTCCTGGAACCGGAAACCCCCCCCAGGGGCCCCCCCCCTGCCCCGCCAAAAAATATATATATACAACTAGGGCTCATTTCTGACAAAACGTCCTAGCTTTCTGTAGGTAGAATGAAAAGTCTTGGCCTGGAAGTGGAGCTCTTCTTGGTGTAGCACTTGTCTAGCTTTCATAGGCCCTGGTTTCAATCCCCAGCACAGCCAAAAAGTAAACAGCTGAAAGTCTGCATCTTAAATAATTTATTAAAAGTATTTATAGGGCTGGGGATACAGCTCAGCGACACAAGCACCTGCCTGCCAAGTGCAATGTGCAGAGTTCGATTCCTGGTACCAAAAAAAAAAGTATTTATGAATAACACAAGGTAGTATGTGGCGAATCTGTAAACGTGCCGTGTGATTTACATTTGAGGGCCTCCAGTGTAGGAACCGGCACACTTCTCGTGTGAGGGGCCACAGTGAATACCTGAGGGGTTAGGGACCTCAGGGTCCCTGTCAGCCCCTTACCTTCACTCTGCCAGCCTGAAGGCAGCCTCAGGTACAAAAGTGGATGGAAGGGCTCCGTACCAACAAAACTTTATTTACAAAACCGGGGGGCCTTATGTCTCCTTCTGTGGAGTGCAGTCCCCTGGTGCCTCCCCTAACTCCTGTGGCAGCTGGCAAACTTGTGCTGTCATCGCGAGATGTTCAAGCCGTCCCTCAGCTTCCTTTTCTTTGTTGCCTGACATCTGTTGTCCGTAAATTACTCTTGGGTGCCCACACTGTTCATCCAAGTTCCTACCATGTCCAGAAGCTCCATGCCTCCCTCTGACACGCTGCTTTTCTCAGGGTGTCCTTGCCCTGGGTCACACAACAATGGGTCGACAAGGTGGAGACAGATCTAAGCCTAGAGGCTGTGACAGAGGGCGTCTTCCCTTGGAAGCCACAGGCTGACTCGTGTGGATGGTTCCCAGAATGATTGGAATCTTGAATTGCTAAGTAGTAGAATGTGGAACCCAGCTTCCGGAAGCATCGGGAGTCTGGCCACGGTGGCTTGGATCAGGTGGGGTGGGCTTGCTTCACGGAGCTTGCTTGGGTTATGTTGGTGTTGAGCCACGGGGCCACTGGGTGAGGCCCGAAACCATGACACTGGCTTCCATGCGGCTTCTTTCTTTCCGCTTTGTCCCCAGCTACTGCCCCTCAGCAGGAAGCAGATGCCGAGGTAAATGCGGAAACAGTAAACAAGCCTTCTCAGGGGAGCTCCTCCAGCGCCCCGGCAGCCCCTGCGGACACGGCCAGCGCCACCAAAGAGAAGGAGCCATCAACTGAGAAAAGCAAGGACAGTGGCTCGGTGAGTTTAGAGAGCCCTCCTGGTCCTCGTCTCGGTCCGGGAAGCTTATATTTGTAATCCCATGGAAAAGTTACTGGAATTCTAGTGAGTTAATTCCAATCTACCACTTCCAGTGCAGCCCATGGCCAGAATAAAGACTCTAAGGCATATTTGTAGTTGTGGGGAGCCAAGGGGTCCTAAGTCCAGCTAGGGTGATGGCTACCCTGGACAAAGGCCTCGACCCAGGACCGAATCTGGGTTTTACGAATCCGTGAAGAAGGGAGTGGCTTGAGGATGAGTGACTATGAGTATGGCGGGAAGTAGGTGAGTGCTGTGAGCTGGGCTAGGTAGGAGGCCTGCAATCACCTCTGCAATATGCAGAGAAGGATCTGCAGAAAGAGTAATGTGCATGACACAACTGAGGTAGTATCTGATGGTTTGGGTTCTGGCTTCAGCTCTGGTGTGTGGTCTTTGAAGCCCCAGGAAGTCATAGACAGCTACAGTGGAGCATTGGCTCAACATCCTGCCTCTTCAGGGCTCACACAAGGGAACAGTGGGGGTCTGGGGGAAACACTCCTGCTGTCTTCAAAGACTATTATCAGCACTTGGGCTAGACCGATATGCATTGCTTAAAGCCAGTTGAAGGGATCAGGAAAAGTCCCAGCCAGTTCTGTACATATCAATACATGGAAACAGGGTCAGGCTCAGCCAAAATGGAGACGATCGCTCCTCTTTCAAGAAGAGGCGGCTAGGTGGTCCTCCACAGGGGCCACCACCTGCAGCTGTTGAGGACTCAAAAGGTGGCTCATTTGACCAAGGATCTGGTTTTTGAGTTTTATTTAATTTTATTTAATTTAGATTTAAATTGCTAATCGCTGCCAGATTGGATCATGAAGGTGGCACCTGCTCATTTTCCAGCAAGCGGTGTATGTGACATTAATTTTATGCAAGGACTAGTCACGGGGCACACTGATCAGTTTTTACCTCTCAGTAAAAGCACTGTGGTTTCACTGGTACTGTTCCTTCGTAAAAGGCTAACGGGTAACAAAAGAGAATTGATAGAATTCTTGATATAGCAAAAATCTGGAGGTGGTGAGGGTACTGGGTGAAGTTTAGGAAACAGAATGTTCTAAGCAGGTCATGGTGGCACATGCCTGTAATCCCACCTGTAATCCCAGTACTGGGGAGGCTGAGGGAGGAGGATCGTTTTAAGTTCGAGACCAGCCTGGGCTACAAAGCGAGCTCAAGGCCAGCCTGAACTGCATAACAAAACCCTGTCTCAAAAAAACAAAAAAAAAAACCAAAAAACAAAAAAACTAAATCCATTTTTGTTTTGTGTTTCTAGACCCTAGACCTTTCAGGCTCCAGAGAGACGCCCTCCTCCATTCTCTTAGGCTCCAACCAAGGCTCTGGTATGTTGCCCCCTGGTGGGCGGATCATGCTTTACAGTGGGGTGGGTGTGGAGCCATTTTGTCAGGGAGAAGGGTTTATGGCAGTGGTTTAAGGAGGATGGGGTGCCTTGCGGGGGGCCTGTGGGGGTGAGGGTGTGTCCGGGCAAGGCAGTTTTCCAGCACCTCTCCACACTGGTCAGACTTGCCCATGTTTGTTTGGCTTATTGGGGAATCCATGTAAAGCAATTTGCACACAAGGTTCTGCTCTCAGGAGAACGATGAGATAAGGAGCTGTGGGAAGCTCCTGAGGTCCCAGTGGTGTTGGGTGCGTGAGGGCACCTGAGCCCCAGAGAGGTAAAGACTGTGTGTGGAAGGGCTGTGTTTGTGGACAGGCCTTTCCTCTGGGGGATACCTGGGCCGGTTGAGGGAATTTTCTGGAATCTTCTCTGGGGTTGGAACAGTCTTCTCTTCTAGCCCAGGAAGTCCTTTTCCTACATCCTCCTAAACCAGTTTGGTCATTGCAGCAGAGTTCAGAAACGTGCCTTCCTCGCTGAGGAGCGTTCTTGGGATTCTCTCTTGCCTCTCATCTCAGCTCCAAGATCCTTTTGCCTGGTGATAGATTCTCAGTGGCTGAACACCCAGAATTTAATTTCACTTTTGCAAGTTGAGTGTGTAGAGGAGGAAGCAGGGTGCGCTGAGAGGATGGCTAGCGATGCTTCCCAAGGGGGCAGGACCTGGCTGGGCGTGGGCTTGGACGGCAGAGATACGACAGAGTGGCCGGAGCTGACTTGGAGGACATGAACTTGGCACTGAATACGATTCAAGTACAGTGTTTACGAAACAGCAGATTCCCCTGGGTGTGGCACTGCCTCTAATCCCAGCTGCTTAGGATGTGGAGGCAGGGAAATTGCAAGTGGGAGCCTAGCCGGGGCAGCTTACTGAGACCTTGCCTCAAAATAAAGAATAAAAGGGATGGGACAGAGCGCTGTGCTCAAGCGCTGCGTTTGATCCTCAGTTTTGTGAGACAAGAAAGAGGAGGCCACTGCGCTCTCTTCAGTCCCGGGGCCCAGGCGCAGTGTGGCGCTAAGCTGTGCTTGTCTCTCTCACTGAGAGCACACTTTGGATTCCAGCAGCCTGGTGGTGCTACCTTTTGGGTTTTTATTATGTTAATTTGAAGAGCTGCCTTCTACTTGTTCCAAGTCTAACTGATTTTTGTACCTTTGGTGGTGATAAAAGTCTCTTAAAATTTAAGTTCAAAAATAAGTTATAAAACATGAACTAAGAAATGTAGAGGAGGATCGTGGACACATGCAAATTTCGAAGGTGGTGCAGGAGAGGCCTGAGTCGGGAAATACGGTTTCAGACGCTGGATTCTGGAGTAGTGAGGTAGTTCGAGTGACGTGGCGTTGGGGGGTGTTAGTAAAGCCACTTCTGCGGGGACTGTTGGGAGGAGACTGTCCGGGTCCGGTCCGTCTCTGAGATGAGTGAGGTATTAGCCAGACCAGGGGCTGGCACATTTTTTGTAAAGGGCCGTGTAGCGTGTTAAGCACTGCAGGCTGCATGGTGTCTGACCAGATGCATGGTTTTGGACAGCAGATGTAATAAGGAAGCCAGTGTCGGCTGTGTGACCGTGAATCTCCGTGTACAGGAGTGGGTTGTTGGTTGCCTGGGCTGCGGCCCCTGGCATCGAGGAACAAGCATGGAGGGGAAGGTTCAGCGTGGAGTGGGGAGGGGAGAGGCCTTGCAGATGGTGGTGACTCTGGCGGGAAGCGGGTGGAAGGGGCCTGAATAAGGCAGGAAACGCCCATCCATCCCCTTGGAGTGTCAGAGGCGGACAGAAGGGCGCCTCCTGGGTCTTCCAGAAGGGGAAGCAGCACAGACACTCGTCACATTGACACCTGACCCATGTGACGGGGGTTACTGCTTCCCTGACACAGAGTGACACAGAGGAGGGACTGAGGCCCAGTGGAGTGACTTGGTACCCAGGTAGTTCAGGGGGTGACCATGGGGACCAGGACCTCCGCGCAGACCTGGACACCACCACCGGGCGAGGAGATTCAGGGACTCATGGCTTCCATGCTGTCAGAAGCGGCTGCCTAATGGCACATCCATATGGCTCAGTTCCCAGGGCAGTGATCTCTGGGGTTTCCCACCCGGCTCCGTGGACCCTGCTCTTCCTCTTAGTCCTCCCCTCTAAACCTTCCGTGGCCTGAGCTTCCGGTGCAGCCTCACTGACAGGGCCCAGCTCACCTGCTCCGGCCCGGGGCTTTGCTGGATGTCACCTGAGAGCACAGACTTCTTCATCACTGACCCTCAGGGCAGAGATCTTCATCCACCCCCAGCTCACCAAGTTCCTTTCAGAGCCTAGGACTCCAGCTTCCACAGCGACACCCCATGCCGTCTGCTACACCCCAGCCCCTGCCTCTGTCGCCCCTGTGAGGCCAGCCCTGCCCAGGCTCCCACACCTGGCTGCCGCCACCTCCCTGGCCATCGTTGCAGCCGGAGTCCTCATTCTTGACCGTCTCCTTCCTGGGACGTTGAACCATCTCGCGCCTCCACTTCCTTCCTGGGCACCCCACCTCCTTGGGAGCATCCTTAGACCTGCATTGGCCGCCAGTGGCTGCTGAGCCCTCGAGTGGCAGCTCACGTGACTGAGGAGTGGAACTGAGATTTCATTCTGCTTACTATAAATAGCAGCTCGGGGCTAATGGCTGCCACAGCGGGCAGCACAAGCTGAAACCTGTCATCTCCTCCCTCAGCCCTTTAGCCGTCTCCTCGCATTCCTTCCACCTCCCCTGCCCCTCACCGCTCCTCGCTCAGCCCTCCGGCTTCTGTCCCAGCACCCGCCATATGCTGACACTTGCCACCTGACCCCCAAGCCATTGCCAGGCAAGGATACATTAAGGTCTGTGTTCTTTTAAAACCCTGTGTCCAAACAAGAGCAGGATGCCAGGTGTGGTAGCGCATACCTATAATCCCAGCACTTGGAAGCCTGAGGCAGGAAGATCGCTGCAAGTTCAAGGCCAGCCTGAGCTACAGAGGGAGAACCTGTCTCAAAAACAAAAACAAAACCCACAGAAAAGCAGGTGGCTGAGAATCTTGGGATTTCCATGCTGGAAAGGGCTGTTCCCCAGGTCTGAGGCAAAGATTGAGGTGGGTGCAGTACTGCAGTGAAGGAGGTGAACCCCACCCCTGGACCCACAGCGAGGCTGGGCGCGGCGCATCCACACGGCTCATCTGGGAGAGTGCTTTTCTGGCATGCACGAGGCCCTTAGTTCCATCCCCACAAAAAACAGAACCCAAAGCAGCTGGGCCTGCTGGCCCACACCCGTCATCCCAGCTCTGTGGACTCTGGGAGGCTGAAGCAGGAGGACTGCAAGTTGAAGCTTAGACTGGGCAACTTAGGGACTTCGTAAGATGCTACCTCAAGATAAAAAGGCCTGGGATATAGCTCAGTTTGAAGGCTCCGTGCTCAATCCCTAGGGTTGGAACACACATATATGTGTGTGCGCGCGCGCACACGCACACATGCACACAATTTCAGTCAGCGCTGTGTAGGCATCCGCATGTGTGAGCAGAGGGAGGAACACCAGAGAGAGCCTCAGGCCTGCCCGGAAGCGCAGTCCTCTGCCGTTTCTGTGCTTTTTCACCAAGGCCCTTCGTGATGAAGGTCGAGGCACAGCCAAAAGACACACTGCTCTGCACACAGCCAGCAGTGTTGCCGCCACTGGCTTCTCATGGATGGTGTCGGGGACATGGCCTCGGACGTGGTGGAGAGGCCGGTGGGTGGCAGCCACGTGGGCTCTCCTAGCTGCTCCCCCGTACCTGGTGTCGGGCGGGGCCTGGGGAGCCCCTTAGGAGGAGTGGTGAGAAGGGCCCCCGGAGCCCCTCCCTCGGTGGGCCGGGCCTCTTCTGCAGCTTTCCTGTGAGATTCCACCCAAAGCAGCAGGTGCAGAGTCCAGAGAAGCATCGAGCACAGAAAACCTGTGTCCAGGCCCAAGCCCAGGCCCCCTGCTGCACCTAGCCCTTCCCTCCGTGTTTGTGGTGCCGTACCTCCATGGGCCTCTGTTTCCTGACTTTGTTTATAGCCTGTGGAGCCTGAAGAGCTGAGAGTGGAGGTCCCTTGCGACTGTTCTTCCCTCCCCGAGGGCAGGTCTCTTCCTTGCCCGAGGTTGTGGCTCGGGATAACTGTGGCCCAGGGCAGCCCCTGTCCCGAGGTTCTGTGCCAGTTCTGTGCCGCCCGGCCGGCCTCGCCTCTCTAGGTGGCCCCTCTGCTCCTTCCCTGCTGTGCATTCTCTCTGGGACTGCGGTGTCGTCTGCTGTGTCCTCTGAGTCCACCTGTCCTCTGAGTCCACCCTCGCTTGTGCCCTCGTGACCGACTGCCGCTCGTGTGGGCGTGGGTGTGCGCCTGCGCAGCCTGTGCTTCCCTGAGTTTCCTTACTGTATTCTCACTTTGCTTTTTTTTGCCCTTACCAAAATCTTCACTCCATCAGTGGTTTGTACGGAGATTCCTTTCACCTCACGGGGTTTCCGGATCTTTAGTTTCGGGTGTGACTTCGGGGGTCCCCCCGCTGTACCTTGTCCAGCCTCACGGTTTTGTCCTCACCCAGGCTGCAGAAGGTCACTCCTGCCCCTGTTTCCCTGGTCAGACTGGGCTTATTGGTAGAGCGAGTGCTTCCGGGATTTTTGCTTCTGAGGATTGCAAAACCCTGAGACTTCCTGGTTCCCTGAGCGCTGAATTGCTGTGTGTCCTCGTGTACCTCCCTTCCGCCCCGCCCTGCCGCGCCGTGTGCATTGCTCCTGCTCGTGGTTTGCTCCGCGCTGTTGCAGAGTTGTAGCCCCCCACGGGTGCGCTGAGTTGGAGCGTGGTGACTTAGGAAGGAGCCAGCTGGTTCTAGTGACAGCAGCGACACGCGAGCCCGTGGGGTTGTACGGAACCGCAGCTCTCTGACGGACTCTGAGGCTACTGTGCTATCTCTTCAGTTAGCAAAAGGTGTGACAAGCAACCTGCCTATGCCCCAACCACCACAGACCACCAGCCGCACCCCAACTACCCCGCCCAGAAGTGTAAGTATGAGCCTGTCTCACGGAAGCTGCCGGGAGAAGCCTTGTCTGTGTGTGTCTGTGTTTGCTGTGGGCGTGTCCTTTCCTGTCCTCTCGGTGCCGGGTCTTTGCTTTGCTCTGTTCCTTCCTAGCCCCCTTTGCCCATGGTACCCTGCTTTCGGATGCGCGCGCACATGGTTTTCTTGTGGGCATTAGCCTTACTCTCTCCACCCTTGGCCCTGAGAGCAGTTGGGTCCCTCGGGTCCCTCAAGCCCCTGTCCCCGCTTCACCTCGAAGGACTTGACGTGGCCTCCTGTCACACATTGGGGTTTCCTCGTGCTGTAGGGGTGACCAGGGCCATCACCCCCAGAGCTCTCAGAAGTAAAAGCATCGAGAGTAAGGGAAGCACCGAGGAAGAGGTGGCTTCAGGATCAGGACTCAGCCCTGTCCTCATCGGCCTCCCTTAATCTGCCCCACTTTGGCCACCGGTGCAGGAGGCTTGAGTTCTCCCCAGGAGGGTGGTCCCTGCTTGGAGAGCTTTCTTTGTGCTCCCCTTGCCTTCCCACGAAGGCCGTCGGCCAGGCAGCCGTCAGTGCAGTCCCCGTGGGTCATGGTCGGGTCCCATCCTCACCCACTCTGATTCTGTCTCTAAGCTTGACACTCACCTTCTTTTAATCAAATGTTCCACCTTGAGAAAATGAAAAGAAACAAGTCTGTCGCACTCGTAAGCGAGCGATCTAAGCCCCAGAGGGCTCTTGGTGGCGGCTGCTGGGTGGGCACTCACTCTTCCTGCGGAGCCAAAGACTTGGGTGCCGTAGCGAGGTGCTCTTCAGGACACCTTGTCTGGGTCTCCCTTTGCCTCCTGGCCTCTTCCTCAGCCACCCCTAGCTCTGCACTGTGTCCTCGAAGCCATCCTAGCTCTTACCTGGTCCGCATCCTTTGCTGACCCCTCTGTGCATCCCCCTCGGGAGCCACGGGCCTGTGCGCCAGTGGACTCAGCCATCTGGTCGACCCTCTTTCTCTTCTGCGGTCCTCTCCCTTGGGCGGGCACCTGTGGTTCAGCCCTGAGTCCTCTTTTCAAGTTACCCATAAGTTGTAAGAGGAACTTCATTAATGTAAGTAGACTGCATGCTGGATTTTGCTGCCTCTCTCCAGTGGCCAGGGTCAGAAGCTCAAGTGCATGGGGTTCCTGGTGTCGTTCAGTGACGTCATGCAGGTGCCCGGTTCCGGCTACAGCACAGGAAATGCCTCCCTTGGCAGCAGAGCACCTTTCTCACTAATCTGTCCTTCGAGCATGACGCCCTCCTCGTGTGCCAGCCAGTTCTTGTTAAACCCTCAAGCAGGAGCCGTCTCACCTTCGTACTGTGTAGACCCGCAGGAGCAGGGGAGTCGGTGGCTTTCTCTTAACCGTTGGTGCTGTGTGGAGTGGGGCGGGAAGGTGGCTTCCCGGCGAGGACGAGGCGTTAAGTGCCTCGGCGAGGGCAGGTGTGCTGACCATGTCCCTTTCCTCCCCAGACCATTCCCGGAGCAGCAAGTCCAGCGCCTGGAGCAGCAGCGAGGAGAAGCGCGGGTCAGGCCGCACCGAGCACAGCGGCGCGGCCAGTGCCAAGAGCCTCCTCCCCAAAGAGTCTCGGCTGGACACCTTCTGGGACTAGGGGCAGTTGGTGCCCCAGGCCACCCATGCCCCGGGGAAGCCACTCGGACCCCAGGAGAAGGGGACGGCAGAGCCAGAGCGGCCAGCGGAGACTTGAGAAATGGGAACGCAGCCTCGGCCGGCGCGCTCGGCACCGGGCACCCACACTACACGACGTCCGGCATCGCCTTGCTGAGACCGTTCGACCACTTGAGCCCTAAGCTTTAGGTGTAAATAATGTACAATTGTGGATGTCACTGAACCTAGAGTACCTTTCCTTTTTATATTTGTATTGACTTTAACTTATACAAAAAAAGAAGAAGAAAAACAAGCTAAAAAAAAACCCCAACAACAAAAAAGAATGTTTTGGTGTTGGGAAGAGGGATGCCCAGGGGTCCCCAGTGGTTGGGGCTGGGCCCAGGGATTGGTGTCACATACGGGACCTGGTCCTTGGATCTGCGGGGGAGCTGAGCTGGTGTCCCCCAGCAGCGTGGCAGAGTCAGGAGTCCGAACACTGACCACGCCAAGCCATCGGCCCCTCGCTGCCCTCTGTTACTATGTTGCAGACGGGGCCCTGCAGGCCAGAGGGATGCATAGAAGGACGCGTCCTTTTGTGGATTTAAATGATGACTCCTAAAAGGGAAAAACAACCACCTCGTTTACAGAAGCTACACAGAAACAAGCCCCGCTCAGCTAGATCGCAGAATGGGAGATGGTAGGAAAGTGTTAGGGTCATAAACTTGGCAACAAAGAAAAATCTGTTTTCTTTGCTTTATGGTTTCTTTAACCACGCCCACACACCCTTGATAGGCTTTCTCCTCGGAGGCAGGAAGGCCGAGGCAGAACACACGCAGGGTCATGTGCGTCTGGATGGAGCATGTAGGTATTATTTCCAGATGCAGTTCAACGTTTTTATGTAAGCATGAAGCAGAGGCAGTATGAGAGAAGGCAAGAGCCATGCTGTCTGTTACACTACGTATGCTGTAGTATCATTTTGTATGTTGTGTAAAACAAAAGGCATTGATCAGAAGCAAAAGGTGATGTATGTATATGAGAAAATTAATTGTATGATATCATTCCAGTACATTTTGTTGTACATTTCAGTCTCATTTACTTTCTCTTCATTGTTAATAAGAGGATGCGAACTGTACAGTTTCCAGCTAGTTACCCATATTAGAAAAGAAATAAGAAGAGCTACTAGAAGAAAACAAGAGAAAGAACATTTGTGAATTGCAGTTGTCAAAAAAGAAAAAAAAAATAGCCTAGCTGGCCTTATTTGTGAAGCATAATTGCTTTTAGCATATGGAAGTATTTTTTCACATTTTCTTTGTATAAAATTTGTATTAAACTTAAATATCTTTTTTGACGATTGTGTTTCTTTGTGACTGAGCCAGTGGACTCACACGGTATGGTCTTTTGGGTTCTCCTCTCCCGTCCTCCCCTCCCAGTTTTTTCAGGTTCTTCGCCTTTTTTTAATTAAACTGTTTTGGCAAAATGGCTTGGTCGTCCTCAAATTTACAGTTTTCCAAGTGGTTGGGATTGCTGTGTCTTAGATTCGCACAGCCAAGAGGAGGAGGGGGCCCGTGTGGTGGTGGCTTAGAGGCCATAATTCTACAACGAGGAGGGACCTTTGGTGGGGGGTGGAGGCAGAGCCTGAGCTGTCGGGGTGGCCCCGGGCGGCAGGGACCTGGGCACCGCCAGGCACGTCCTGTCCACGGCTCTGGGCCCGGCAGAATGGAGCAGTCCTGAAAGGCGAGGGTTCTGCCAGGCAAGCTGTGTCCTCTTTCTCTGGCCAGTGATTCCCCCGTAAAGATTTGCCCCCAACACTCTCCTGCCTGGGACCAAGGCTCAGGGTATATGAGACATTAGAATGCCTGACAGGTGCCTGTAACCCCAGCATTTGGGGGGCTGAGGCAGAAGGATCGGCATGAGTTCATGGCCAGCCTGGGCTAACATAGCAAGACCACTCTGACTCAAAAAAAAAAAAATGGGGATTTAGCTCAGTGGCACAGCGCCTGCCTGGCAAGCGCAAGGTCGTGAGTTC